TTCGTGTTCGGCTCGTTTACTTAACGAACGAGCCGAACACGAGCTGTTTGCGAACAACGAGCTTTTTTGACAACCCTACTTAGTAGATGCTAACTTCAGTAAAAATACATTCTTAGTGTAGTGGATACTGCACTACTTAATGATATTTGGAAGTTTGACATGAAATCGTGGAGCTTTATTAATAAGATACGAGTATTGATTCAGATACTCAAAATAAGTATGGCAATATATATATACACGCGCACACACACTTAAGCCCCAGTGTAAACATAATATATCGTAGTTATTGATACTGACAAAGAAATGATCGAATAGAAGAACTTCTTGAATGAGTCAGCAACAGAACAGGAGAGTCCTCAAGCATAGTTGCTATTTGGCTCTTCATTTTTCTCTCAAAATATGAAGAGTTGCGAGAAAATAGGACTGTGTGGCTATTTACGTAAGAGAGTCTATCTAGCCGAGCCACAATTTTGTCTACTGTTTTGAGTTTTCCCACTTTTATTCTCTATTTTGGGTTTTGTTTTTGTTCTTTTTGCTTTCACAACCATTTTTCTCAATAAGCTGTAATTGAGTTTTGTCCGTCCATGCGGCCCTTGCAGAGATATTTTGGGTAATGGTTCTCAAATATTTTTCAAGCTTTGTGTTAATCAAGTTAAAAGCTCATCCAACTCTTTAAGATGCCCGTGGGCTAAAATTTCCTTAGACTTCGTTTTTGAGGGTTGTGCTGTTTTAATTTCCAATTCCTTCTAAACTCTATTTTTTACATTTATATCACCCAAATCTTTCATATCACATAAAAAAAATATCACTGCATACTCAAAAATGGTCTGGACGGATCTCAAAACAATATTCACTCTACTCTCGTTGACTTGGCTACCCTTGGCCGATTTTTTTTTCAACGGAGGACCTTTCGACCCAACGGAGAACTTTTCCTCCGACCGGCCACCGGAACCCGACAACTCTACTAGACTGAAAAACTCCAGAATGACAGATCCAACAGTCGATAAGGTACCCAGCAGCACACACCAACACAAAAGACTAAAATATTCTATACCAATCCCTTTTAAAGTAAGGGTAATATTATAATTTACTTTTAATCCTCCTATTATCTATAAATAGGAGAACCCTTTCATTTCAAGAGGCTTTTGGATCCCCACTTGTAATCTGTGCTTTTTAATGAAATAAAATGAGTTCACGAGCCCAGAGGGGGTAAGTGTCCCCCCCCCCCCCCCGCCCCTTTGACGTTAGGCTCTATCCCTTGGTCATGATCCGAAAGATATGGATTCAACAATCACTATTTTATCTTTTAAAAAGTGAAATACATCTTTTCATGTGCAGATAAGGTGCCGAATAAGTAAAAATTGAAGTTTAGGTGTTAGATTTGTAAATGCACATGAATTAAGTGGTATGTATGTAAATCATTTTATGTATTATTTACTCTTACTTGCACTGCGACATTTTCTCTTTCCAACCCTGACAACTTCATATCTACCGCTACTGTCACTTGACAGGGTTATCCTTCTACACATCTGAGAAAACCCTGCGTGCAGCATTTGAGGGCTTTGGCGAGCTTGTTGAAGGTGAGTACATTGCTTCCCTTGCTCCTGAAAATTACTTACAGAGCTTCTCTTATTTAGATTTTCTGATAGAGGAAGTGTCAAGTAGTCTCCAGAAACTTTGCAGGGGGTGGGGGGGCAATTTTAATCCTAGAGTATATAAATGTGTCAATCTAGTGCCCAAATTCTCTTAATATCAGTTGAAATAGTCCCCATAGAGAATTATTTCAGCCCAAATTTAGAGAGTAAAATTTATTTCACTTTTTAAAAGGCAGAGGACTATTTTAGCACTTTACTCATTTTCTAATATTTTTAGCTGTTGATAATTTTTACAGTTAAGGTTATAATGGATAAAATATCAAAGAGATCAAAAGGCTATGCTTTCATAGAGTATACAACAGAGGAAGCAGCGGGTGCTGCTCTGAAAGAAATGAATGGGAAGGTATGCTAAATTTCTCCACCTTTCATAATTGTAGACATTAAAGCTTGCTTTTGTATGACCCAATTCCTACGTATTTACATATCTAACACCTAAATTTTTCATTTTGCATTTATACCACCTAACCAAATCATTCACATCACATCAATAATACCACCATTTTGACTTATAAAAAGTGAAATACACCTTTTGATGTATAGGCAAGGTGGCATGCATGTAAAAATGGAAGTTTAGTTGTTAGATATGTAAATTCATAAGGAATTGAGTGGTATGCATGTAAATCTTTGTTTTGAAAATCACGAGTAATGTAATCCTTGCTGCAGATAATTAATGGCTGGATGATAGTCGTTGATGTTGCTAGAACAAACCCATCGGGTTCTTTCAGGGCGAAGCAGCGTGATCAAATTTCGACAGCTTCCTCAAACCGTATCAATAGATGGAACTGATTTCTCGTCATTGATATATTGATGTTGTGAAGGTTAGATGTGGATGAATACTTTTAGCCTGAATCATAGAATCTTTTGTAATTATATAATGTTATTATGATTTATTGGATGTGCCTTTATGCGCATCTAATTGTTATGTTGAAGAATTATGCAGAAGAAATATCTGAGTATTATGAAATTGTTGTAGTCAATTTTTCATAACTGGTAATTTTACTGCACCAGCCTTCTTATGCATATACATTTCTAACACTTTAGCTTCAATTTTTTGCATACATGTCAGCTTTTCTTAAGCATGTACCGTGGCATGCATGTAAAAATTGAAGTTTAGGTGTTAGATATGTACTCAGAAATCTGGAACCGACTTTCAAAATTGCCTATTTTCGCTCGCCAAAATTTACATAAAGAATTTTCTCCTATGAACTCCATTGATGGGTCTCTTCTTCCACCTCTTAATTTCCTTTCTCAAGCAGCTCTACTCTTCCTTCTTCACCTCTCCATCCCACATCATCAGAAAACAAGACAAGAGTCGTGATAACCCATCTTCTCCAAGCACGGCAAAACCACACCTTTCACCATTTCCGGTGGCCCGCAGACCAACGCCAAACTCTCTTCATCTCCTCCCATCGGAATCTTCTCCCTCAGCACTCCCTCCCTCACCTTACTCACCACATACCAAACCTTCAATCTCTCCGGCCTCTCCCTCGCCCACCCCTCCAACTCCTCCCTCATCAATATTTCATCATCCGACTTACTCCCATACACCAGATGCATCATCTCCACCCCTTCCTCCTCCCTCATAACCGCCCTTATCACCCCATACAATGGCGTTATCCCCGTCCCACCGGCGACCATCACCACCTGCCTCGCCCGCCTGA